AAACAAATTAAGTGACATTGTAATATTTTTTATAAAAATAGAATTTTAGAAGTAGCAACATAAAAAAGAATTAAAAAGATATTTAAAAAATGAAATGAATTCAAAATAATTTGATGGCATTAATACTTTCGATTATTCATTTCCATTTCAAATTTATTTCTTTACTTTCTTTCTATCTAAAATTTTACATGATACAGTGAAAAGCACATCTTAAAATCTTTAATATTTCATCCATCGATATCACTTCGTTGATTATTCAAAGTTTTGTGAGCTTTTGTTTGATACTGTTTACGATATGATAAATTATAAAATTTGAAATCTCATAGATTTAAGTAAGTGCTGGCAGCAGTATCGTAAACAAATTGAGAAATTCTCTTCATTGTTTTTCAAATAAAGATGAAAAGCACAACTACCGACCGGTTTTAAATCAGTCAAAACTATGAGTCCATATGAAATTCTATATACAATGTCGTTTATGTTAAATCATTTACTAAGGGAAATTCTTTAAATTTAAAAAATTTTAAATCAATTTTCATTTAAGAAAAACATCGGTAATAATTTTCTCAATGGAACAATAAGAATTAAAAATAATATTTTGCATATGATTACCAAAAATTGAAAACAATTATATTTCATCATCATTATTATTTCAACAATTGCAACTTTTTGTATTGGAGTTGGAGCACAATTCTTAATTAGTATTGTTAATGGCCTTTGGCCTATCGATAATAGCAAATGCTTAGACATTGCTTTAGGTAACATTGAAAGAGTTTGATTCATTTTTAAAAGGAAAAAATTAGATTTAAATAAATCGATTATATTTTCATAATAATAAAACTTTCAAAATTTAGAAAGTAATAAATTATAAACTTAAAATTTATAATATCAAATTTTACTTACCAGCTATTTTTGCTGCTTTTTCATCGTTTAATTATGGGAGTAAACGATGACTGAAGAAGAAGTGGAAGTAAATTTAAGTACTGCCTTTTTGGTGGATTACGATAAGTTGCTGATTATAATTGCAGTTACAGTATGCTCTTTTTCTATTTTACAAAAAAGGAAAAAAATTAATAATTGCTTGAATGGTTTCAATTTTTATCACTGCGGAAAATCCGACAATATTATCATATTGGATGGATGAAAAAAGATAAATTTAATAAATATTTGATTTTAAAATTAAAAATTAAATGAAAATGGATAAGACAAGATAAGATAAGATGAAATTTTGAGAGACTAATTAAATTTGCTATTATTTTGAAATTATTTTACTTAGAAAAATTTACTAATTAAGAAATTATCGTTTTATTCTTTTCACTTTTTCATTTTACAGATTTTCATAAAATAGACAGAATGACATTTTTAGGAGAAAATTAATTGTATTCATTGAGGGAGATGAAGTAAAAGAAAGAGAGGAATATTTCAGGTCAAAAGTTTTTCACATGAAAATGAATGTTATGGATTATTTTTGTTGAAGTAAATTATAATATTTTCGATAATTACTCTTTCTCTTAATTATTCTTTTTCTCAAAGAATTTTCATCCATGCTATAATTACATAAAATAGATGAAAAAAAATTTTTGATTCATTAATTTCATAATTAAGATTAGAGGTGAAATTAATTTTTCATAATTGAGGGGATCGTTGACAAAATCTTATTTCGTTGTTACCTTTTAATGCAATATTACCAAGCGACAGCTGAAATATATTCTTATTTTTAAGAATAATAATTAAGCTTAAGCTAACTTCCTTTCACAAACTGATTTTTTTTTGGTGTTAGAATATTAAAGTTGAAATTGAAATATCGGAATTAATTTCAAAATTTGAATTCATGGAATAATTTTGCTGAAACTCATAGCTCTATTTGGTGGCAACACATTGAATGTATTCTTCTTCTGTACTGTACTTTCTTTGCATCTCTCTTTTTTTAAATCAACACTTTCCGAAATTCGAAATAACATTTATGAAATACATTTTCATTTTAAGGATAATAAATAAGCTTAAGCTAATTTTCGTAGATTATATAATAATTGAATTTGAATAATTTTAAATATAATTATTTTCTGATAGTTATTTCAAAATCCACAAATTCACTCATTTTATTTTAACTTTAGAAATTACACGAAAATTACGATATTCATAACTTTGAATTCATCCTAAACATTTTATAAATCTGTCAGGACGAGAATTGTTGGAAAAATAGAAATTAAAAATGAATGTGTAATATTAGCGCTCGGCGCTATAAAATAATTGAAGATAAAATAATTTGTTATAATTTATGATTATTTTATTAACAAAATTAACATTTCCATGATAAATTAAAAAATTTTCTTTCTATCATTGCTATCTGAAAGTGTTGACAATCTTTTATCATTTGATAATTCAAAACAAACAAAAAGACTAAAATTATGATAGCATATCATGGTCCAAAAAAGGATTATCAATAAATATAAATTATAACTAATAATGCAAAAATATATCCATTTGTTGTATATTTAAAATATATCCATCTATTTATTTCATTAATATTTAGCTAATATTTGCTAATAATAATTAAAAATGTTTGCACCTGAGCGTTTTTTTTCTCACTTTAAAAACAATGCGACAACAGGTATTAATAAGTTATCTAAGCTAAAGTAAGATTTAAAGTAAGAAAGAAAGGAAAGTAAATAAAGGCTTATTGAATATAAGTTATGAAAATGAATTATAAGAAGTTTGAAGACAGTAAATTCTTTAGTCTTTTTTACTTCCGCCTTTTCCTTTCTCATTGTTTATTTGAATGAAAAAGATATGAGGAATTTAGACAATTTCATTAACAGTTAATTATTCGTTATAATTTAGAAAAGAAACAAAGGAGCTAAATGTTTGAATTTAAAATTTCATCTTTAAATTCAAACATTTAACTTCGCTTTATTTATTTTACAAAGAGAAATGAAATATAAATCTGTTAGAAGCATTTAATGAATGATATTTGATAATAATAAGAAAAGGTGACGAATTGAAGCGTATTTTTTTAAAAAGGTTATTTTAGTTATTTGAAGTTCAATTTAATTGACAGCGAATAATAAAGCAAAATGATAAAAAGCTCGTTAAAGGAGAAAAACGAAAAATTCATTTTCATTCATTTTAAACGAATGATTTCTTTTCTTTTTGTTCAAATTTCATAGTTTGTTAATACATTTTAATTAGCAGCCGATCATTGCACCTTTCTTTTCTTTCAAGGACTTTCAAGATTTGAAAGAAAATGAAATTTTGGCTAAATGATCAATTAAACGATTTAAAAGATTTTCAGAAAACTTTAAAACAAAATTAAAAGAGAAAGGAGCGAAAATTTCAACACGCAAATATTTAATATTTTGAAAATTTTCTTTTTTCCATTTTACATTTAAAATAAAACGGAAATTCCTTCATTTGCTAATAATATAAGCAAGCATAATTTTGAATTAGAAAGTTCGAATCCGCTTTAACTTCAAAAATAACTCTAAATTATTGCCAGTCATATTTCATTAACGAAATTATTTGTTCCAACTTAAAATATTAAAATAATTCTAAAAAGGAAAGATTTAAATGATTTAAAATGGAAATATGTTCATAACACAATTTCAGTCTACCTTCTTCTTTTCTCTTTCTAATAAACATTTCAATTGTTTAAACGGAACAAACTGCTTTCTCATTCTCATTTAACCGGAATAATTTAATAGCAAATAAGCTTTTGAAAGAGAAGAAAAAAGAGAAGGAAAGAATTCTGTATCATTTAATAGTTTACGCCTTTCCAAACATTAAATATTGGAAAATTAAGTGGCAGCAATATTTGCATGTAAATTGAAATACACACAGGTATAATACAATAATATGAATAAATATACATAAATAAATTCATTTACATAAATTATAAGTAAAATGGATAAAACTAAAAATAAATAAGGGATGATAATTTTTTAAAAAAAAGCAAACAACTTTAAGTGTATTTCCCTCAGTGTGTATAAGTAATATTTGAGATATGTGAAGAAGTTATTTCACTTCAATAATTTCTCACCATAATTACAAATGACATTTGATTGATTGATTAAATCAGGATGAAAAATATGTTTCAATGACATCTTCTCTTTACTGGCACACACCATAGCACCAATAACTATTCACATTTCAAAGAGAGAGAGCTGTGACTCAGATTATTGTTTAATTAGTTTAACATACACTTACACTGGATTAGGATTATGCAAATCAAATATTTTATTTACATTAACTAAGTACATGAGCTCACAATTACTGATTTCAACAATGAAGCAGCAATTGAATTACAGGAAGACTTTGTCGATTCCCACTAGTAGAAAAGAAAAATTCTAGAATATCCTGAACTTAATTCCTAAACCCTTTTTCAAATTATTTGTTTCTGTCTATAATACTCAATGAATTGCAAAGAAATGTTTCATACTTTTATACTCTGATAAAAAAATTACAAGATGAAATATATTGTGCAAAAAACAATAAGCACATACTATGGATGAGCAAACAAGTTGATAAGACAACAAATTAAATATTTGAAAAGCGTGAACATAATGGCTAAACCCCAACATGCCATTTGTTTTCTGCGAAAAAATGAACAATACGAGAATATGATGAGCAATACGAGAATATTATGAGACCAGGTAGGAATGTAGCTCAAAGTCCTAAAGATAATTAAAATAAAGCTAACATAATCATTCTTATCATAAAGCTTCTACTAGAAAATTATCATTCATATCATCAACATATGCAACGTTCAGTGGCCAAGATCGAAAAAAACAGTGAACTTGAATCTTACCTGATAGAAGTGATTTTCTCAAAATCAAAAGAAATCTATAAATTTAATTAAAGTTAACTGCTAAGATGGAAGTGCAAATACTTTAAGCAGGCAACCATTGTTTGACAAAATAAAGTAAACTGGAGTTTAAAGTGTAAAGGAATAGGATTTACTGGAATTAATGATTCGACAAATACACATAAGTTTCATTTTTTAAATACTAAACACCTGTTGAACCAAATCCATCTGTACCACGTCCACTTTTTTCTAGCGATTTAACCTCAACGAATTCACAATGAGCAATTTTCTCACAGATGAACTGAGCTATTCGATCGCCTTTCTTCACCTAGAAATTTTCAATTTTATCATGTATAACAATTTGTTGAAACTATTAAAGAATCGTTCTTTTTCTTCTCGATAATTATTTTTGCAAACTTACTTGGAAATCTTCAGTACCAAAATTGAAAAGCACTACACTGAGCTGACCTCTGTAGTCCGAATCAACAACTCCGGCACCTACATCAATGAATTTTTTTATGGCAAGACCCGAGCGTGGCGCTATTCTACCATAATAGCCTCGCGGAATTTCAATTTGTAGATCTGTTCCAACAGAAGCTTTATCTAAAGAAGAGTTCTTTTAAATATAGAATTTTGAGAACTACTTCGCAAATAATTACGAAATACTGATATATTAATTATGAGGTCGAATTTTTAACTACTGAGTGAACGAAAAAAAATTACCCTTTGCGGGTATCACACAATCATAGGCGCTGTACAGATCAGCCCCAGCTGCCCATGCTGATCCATAAGTTGGGATGTGGGCGTTTTCCGATAACTTCTTGAAATAAATATATTTCTTCTCTGTTTCTATGGAAGAAATAATCTGAAAGTAAAAGTGAACCAGATGTGAATATGGAAAGATATTAATCCCAAAAAATCCATCTACTAGTGGATTACATAGCATACTATTATCTTTACAGAATTAAAAATTTGCAGACTAACTAGTCATTAACATCAGTGTGGAATTAAATAGTTAACCTAAATAAGAATAAAATTTCAAAAAATATTACTTCCGGAATAAAGGATTTCACAGCCGGGATGACGTCCATTTTCCACTTTTTTGCTAATGCCGGATCTCCTGTCTCCTGTAATACATTTTCCAGCGACGTTTTTACATTGCTATCCTCCAACATAGCAGATCCTGGAAATTCTATGAAAGTTTCAAGGAAATTTCGCAGCTAATCTGGCTGTCTTATTTGTGCGACATTCCATGACTATATCTTTCCTTAGTGCACGTACGGCCAGCCAAGCAGTCACATACGACGCAACTAAAATAAGCAGTAAGACAAAGTACCAAAATTGCTATTCAGAATCATATGCCAAAATATTAATATTTAAAACTACTCTTTTAAAAATGAAGAAACTAAAAATTTTCAAATTCCCACTATTCATGTCATCAACAGAAGAAACGTTCAGTGATAAAATTTTTAAAAATTGCCAAATTTCAAAAGATAAAAAAGAATTTTGTCTGCTCTTCCCCTGAAAAGCGAAAAATCTTATAGCTCATGGCACTGTTAGCTCGTGATATCATCCGGAATAACTTCCTACTCAAAAATGGAAAATTGAAGTCCGGTTGTTCCAAAAAGAATAAAAAGTTAAAATGAATGCTTCCCACACTCTTCTCGTAAATCAAATTTTCTTTTAAGAACTTCTCAGATCACTGGGTCAACTAAAGCAGTCCAGTACCTAACATCAAACTTCACACACGCAATACCTGTTATGGCCCAATTCTAAACCACGCACTCATTATGAAAAGCCAACATCCACGTGCTTATATTTTATTTTAAATATTTGTGAATGGCGTAATTATTTTTAACGAACGGTCTGATGCACGTTTCAACACTATACGTTATTTTCTAGTTTGAACTGCCTTTAAAATTAAGTTATCCGGAACTTACGTGAAATTAGAAGGAATTGATAAAAATTTTTTTAAATTAGTACTAAATTACTGGAAAATTTAATGTTTCAAATTATTTTTCATCGCTGTTTTTTCGTTTTTTTTTAAATATATCATATAGTTTAATTTAGTACAATTTTTAGTTAACGCTTAATCATTCGGTAAGGAATATAAATATATTAAAGCATTGAATCCAGCCAAGTAGAAATTGAATTAAAAAATATAAAATGGATGACTAATGAAACTCACTCTTTCTTTAACAGCTCATTATCTTATTTGAAGTCAAATTAATTTATTTTCATTGTTTTTTTTTTCGATTGATTAATTTTAACAAATTATCAATTAGAAAAATTCACTAACCGATGTTTCATTCAATATTTATCACAGTGAAAAAGAAAATGATCCAAAATGATTTGTTACTTATACATATCTCTAATTAAACATCTAAAAAGAATATTAAAAATTTCAACTGATAATTACTTAATATCATTAACTATCCGAAAAGAAGAAAATAGGAAAGACTGATTTGATCAATGAGAAAGATAATTTTATCGATCGATTGAAAAGCTGCAAGATATTCTAATTCAAAAGAAGCAAAAAATTCTTAACAAAATGGATTTTAGTATTGTTCTTTTTTTTCATTGTTTTATAAATTTTTACATAGAATAAACTGTTGTTCATAGATATCACAATATTTGAGGTAGAAGAAGAACAAAAACTCGTTGTAAGGGAGAAATTGAACTTTGAACTAATTAAGAAATTTATACTTCCTACTATGGTTGTTAGCATTTCCGGAATCTTTAATCGAACACACATTCATATAAGTTTAAATTGAGACTTCAATTCAGTTAATTTTAAATTGATATTTTAATTTCTTCAAAAATCCTCAGTAGCTAAATAAAATAATAAAATTTGTAACTATTTATAATTCAGTTTGTTAGTTATTATTATCATAATAATCGAATTCAGGTGCCAATGAAGTAACATTATGATATTATTAATTTATTTATTAACTTCAAATATCAATAATTTAGCGCCTAAGGTTTTCTATCCCTTTGGGCCTATTTCAACAATAACTCATACAATAGCTTATGCCATCGTTTTTTACTGCTAATAATAATTAAGAAATATGAAGAGAATGCATTACTTATGATAAGTGATAAATGATTACTTTGGCTTTTTCATTCAACCGAAACTAATTTTATGCTTACCGTATGAAATAAGAAGAAAATCTTTTTTTTCCATATAAATTTTAATTTTTAAAATTTTAAACAATTTAATCAAATTTCAGTATTCCTTTTTTAAGAACTAAATGCCAGTTATTTTATGCTACTAATTTATTTTCCATTTTTGAATTATAGCAAATTATAAGTTTCGCTTTCGGAAAGACTTTTCAGACAGGTAGGTTATTTCTTACAAATTTCAAAACTTCACTATTATTATTTTTAAAATAATTATTGGTTAATTTCAAAATATTCATATCTGATCTATTTTTGATTTTAAATGCTAATTTATTGATTTCTTTACAATCACCAGTGATAATGTCTCCCTGATTTATACTGATTACGGGATAGGTTTTTATGATGAGCTCATTGATGCTATTGCGCTGCTGTAGATGTTAGTTGTTCACCATTGCAGGACAGTTAGATCGATTTCCCGTTCGTCAGTTGAGGTTTCATACTAATTTTCGTCCTT